GTCGCCGCCAAGGAGGCCGGTATCGAGACGCTGAGCCACATCATCAATGCGTGCATCCTCGTTTTCGTCTTCTCTGCGTCCAACTCGGATCTCTACATCGCCAGCAGGACGCTTTACGGTCTGGCTTCGAGCGGACATGCCCCTGCCATCTTCAAGAAGACTGACAGGCGTGGCGTGCCCATCTATGCTCTTGGCACCTCGGCGTCCTTTGCGCTGCTCGCCTTCATGAACGTCTCTGACGATTCGTCCAAGGTCTTCGGCTACTTTGTCAACCTGACTACCATTTTGGGGCTCATGTCGTGGGTCTCTATCCTCGTCACCCACATTTATTGGTGCCGTGCTCGCAAGGTCCAGGGCATCCCTGACTCTGCCCTCCCCTACGTTGCCCCGCTCCGCGTCTACGGCTCGTATGGGGCTTTGGCTGTGTGCATCATTGTCGCTTTGACCAAGAACTACGATGTCTTTGTTGGAGGCAACTTCGGAAAGGAAAAGTACAAGACCTTTATCACGGGTTACATCGGAATCCCCCTATACCTGGCCTTCATCCTCGGTCACAAGTTGATGAAGAAGACGAGGGGTATCAGGGCTGAGGATGTTGACTTCTACACTGGCAAGGATGCCATTGACCGGGAAGAGAACGAGTTCCTCGCCCAGAAGGCTGCTAAGGAGGCGGCCAAGGGTCCTAGCCGTGGAGGATGGTTCTACAGGATATTCTTGTCATGGCTCTTCTAGAGAGAAACTGGGTCAGGGTATAGGGGACATTCTAGTGATATCAGAAGTCGGAGATGAGTCCCTGAGCCCTCACTAGGTAGTATGTCGGGAGGGAATGTTTGGCCCAAGAGTGAATGCATTAATGGGCACCGGGTTCAAACTACCGTTAATGAGCAATGTATAAAAGTGATGCACTGGAAAAGTGCATCTTCTGTCTTCTGTCGCATTCATATACTTTGCATTGTGGCCGTTATATGCCCTAGATTGTCAATGATCTACACGACTTAGCTGGGATATTTCATCCGCGTATCAATACGATTGCATTAAATGCAAGGCCGTCATAGATTATGTCATTCCACAACCCGGTTATCACTTGGGTGGTGGAAATACGTGGGGGGCGCGGCACTGTGTCGTGCCATTACTTTGACGCTGGAGCTTGTCGGGGCATAGGAAAACCTGGAGCATTAAACCATGCACAAAATTTGCTTCACAAATGGATGGGAAGAAAATCGTTGCTCTGTGCTACTGCTGAGGAATATCATGTGACGTATGGCCTCAGAGTCGCAACAACAAACTCCCGATGGTCTAGTTGGTTCATGGCGTCTGACTGTAATTGTACGGTATAATCAGAAAGTCACCTGTTCGATTCAGGTTCGGGAGAACCTTTTACAACCCATCCCCCATGCAAGTGGGGCTGCTTTTTTTTTTATCTACTTCATCACTTCGCTGAAGATTCTCGTGATGCATCTGTAATCAACCTGCAAATTAGAAATTTTACTACAGGAATAGTAAATTCCATATGTGCAGATATTTCTTCATCCTGAGACTATGAAACATGCTTTAGAGTTAGCATGTGAAAGAGCTTTGATGTACAACGCGCCTGCTTATGTAATCTCACCGCCACTTTGTGCTTCAAGGTAAACGATCTGAGGATCGAGAAAGCAGGTGGAGTGGTGAAGACTTGTTATTCGGCCAGAGAGGGAAGGACGTATCAAACTGGAAGCATGGGCGGGATTGAAATTTTATACTAAATACCTAGTCTAGGCGACGGTGAAAGTCTATTCCTCGCCATCATCTGTCTCCTTTCTACTGATCCTGTGTGTAGTCCCTTGATGTCGCGGCTGTCCAATATGACTTTGCTTCCCCTTTCTCGCCGAACTTGGGGAAGAAGACGCTCTATGTCGAGTATCTCGATCATGCTTTGAATTTAAGTGTACATGTATATTTTGGAGAGATTATTTACCTCGGTCGCAAATAGCCGTCCTGTTAAAAATAATAGTGTGAACCAACGGCCTTCTGTTTGTGTACCTTCGAGGTCCAAAGTTAATCCCCGAGTGACCGCGAACTTAGATTATTCTCCGATCTGGCAAGCATTTGGAAAATTACTATGAACTCCAATTCAATGAGACTCCGTCTTTTTCATCTCCACCCTTTGCACATTTTGTAAAAAAGACGACATATATTCACTGCGGCTTCGTGATGGATCGGATCCTCGAACACCCGAAAGACTGCATCGCTTCTGTCATCCAGTCCGCATGTGAAGACCTTTATCTCCTTCTGTCTTATCCCTTAAACAATATTTATATTTAAAACTTTTAGTCATCCCCATGGGAGCCTGTGATATGATCTTGTCCAAGGCGAGGGGGATCGAATCTCTCCCCGAGGTCCTCGGCGGAAGGAATACCGCACCACTGGGATTCTTAAGAATTCCACCAGAGCTCCGCAACATAATATATAATCTCGCCCTTGTTGACCCTCCTATCTGGGAAAGGAAGCATAGCGTTTTCTGCCGCTACAGCCCCCCCACCTTTCTCGCCATTTCCATACCGGCGATGCTCTTGCAAAAGCCTAACCCGGACTCCATGACTCCCAGCTGTCCCTGCGCGAAGCGACAGGGCATCTGGCTACTGGGGACCTGCAAGCAGATCCACGAGGAAGCAAGCCCGATATTCTGGGCCCAGAATGCATTCCTGTTCAGGACGAAGCGCCAGTTCCTCTCTGGCGTCATCTGGAACCTGTCAGCCGGCATGCGGAAGTGGATCCGGCACGTCGTGATCGTTCCGCACGAGGCGAGGACTAACATTTCCAGGCTCTCTCAAGAGCTCGATGTGGACGAGGCCCCAGACGCTAAGCCTGGACACCTCTGGGAGGGCATCCTACAGTGCAGCGGGCTTCGCACGCTTCAGATTTACCTTGGATACACGGAGGGACAGGCCCATCACATAAAGAAGATACCCCATCAGCTCCCAAAACTCGAGTCCATCAGGACGTGTCTGCTGAAGTTCCGAGCGTACAATGCCCCGGCAGGCCACGTTCCAGTATTCGACCCCCGCCATGCACGAATCCCGGCAATATCCTTCCTCGTATCTCTTCCGCTTCCGTACAAGCACCTTCTAGGAATGCAGGACGTGTTTGCCGACAGTCAGGGATGCCTGGAAGCGCGACTGGCCCACTACATACTCCGCTCGCGCACAAATCACGCCATAACGGACGTGCTGGGAATACCCACTCAGACCGTCTCCACCTTCCAGAGGAGGTTCAACACCGGCAGGCATTCGCACTATCCATATGCCGAGGTGCAGAGATATATCAATAACCCAACGGTGGAGATACTCGTGGAGGGAGGCCCCTGCCGGGTCCACATCACGGGCTTGCCTCTATCCCGGGACGACTGGGAGCACGCTCTTACTCGTAGGGCGAGGGATCGACGACTGAGAACTTCGTGGAGGTCGGGGTTCAACGACGCCGAGATTCAGGAAAGGTTTTGGTCAGGGATGTCGCGGAGAACGTACATGAAGGACACGGTGGTTTCAGCAGTGCTCATAACTGCCCCGCAATTTGCGGCTATGCTATACCATGTTTGTCGCGTGGAGATGGGCCACTCGGGGGTGCCGTTACCGGTAATGATGATAGATGTCGCGCTGGGGACTTTTATAACCATGCTGTGGGGCTTGTACCTCGGACGGGTACCAGGCTTGCAGTGGCCAGCGATTATAGTGGAGATGAGCATGGGGGTGTGGGTGATTGCATTCCTTGCTTGGTCGAGGTATCGAGGGCATTGAGTGCAGATATACCACTTGGGGAGGAACGATGTGACAGGAAATCCGCCTCTTGTTTAGCGGAACTTGGTTTCATGCTTTAGCGTATGAACTATGTAATCCTCTATGGTTCCATAACCTCCCTTGTCGTCCTTCACCCTGCCCGCCCAGCACCGCCTCCTTTCCCACGTGCTCGCTCCTTCTGAAGCATATTCGTAAACCGATCCCTTTTGTTTTCTACCAGCCCAAGATTACGTACCTTAAGCTTGTCTTGGTATGGGTTGCTTAGGACCAGAGCAACGTCGTGGGCTCTAGCTTCGCACACGGTTCAGACCGTCCGCTTGCTGGGCCCACCTTTCTGCTCCTGCAAATATATCCACCAGCAGCCTTTTCCATGACACCCTGAACCTGTTCAAGCTCTAGCTCGATAGATCGGCGCTGTGGCTGGACACCAACAATACAGCATGGTGTTGACAGTGTGGATCCCTGTGTTGGAGATCTGGACCAAGTATGCTGTAGTGTACTCTGCACCCTTGGTCCAACACATGGCCGGTCGCCCTCTCATCACAAGGGGGAAAGCAACATCCTTTCTCGGCGCTACTCTACCCTGAGGATTAACATCAGCGAGCTGGAAGTAGACGGAAACTCCATACCCCGCTTTGTGAGTGTGCCAAAGGTCTGTGACGCTTGGGCATGCCTCGCCGCGCTCGGTGATTCGATACCTAACACTCTCATCGTCGACTACGTTCCAGAATTACCCGGCCGATGAGGCGCCTTGGATAACGGGACCATCCACGATGATATCAAGAACATGAGGTGGGAGGACATGGGCGACCTAGTCGGCTGGGCGGCGGGCATCGCCTGAGATGGTGAGCTAAATATACGGATAGTGTCTAGTGGACAAATATCGCCTAGCTGATTCCAGGGCCAAGGCCCCGAGGACCCAGTGACTTTCCAGCTGGGATTACCAACCTAACTAAGCTAGCGAAGTGGTGGAGGACTACAAGGGGAAAAAGTAATGTATACGTACAATTTTACCAACATTTGGTTGAGGCGAAAGGATATGCGGGACTATCGAGGATTCAAGTGCTCCATATACCGAGCAACTCCTTAATACTTGGGGTACGCGTTGGCGCATTGGCATCCATACAGACAGGGTGACTACCAATTCTGGGAAGTGGACCAGGTGATGGACCATTTGATCGGGGCAACATCAGTGCGCCAAAGGAGACTTCACGCTAATCACATCTAGCTCCTATGGCCAAGGGGTAAGGCGTTGCACTTGTATTACATAAGTTATGCAAAGATCCGTGGTTCAAATCCGCGTGGGAGCTCGTGATTTATTTTTTCCTTTTTGCCTGTGACCAACGCTACTATAAACGCGACAACTTATTTGTATTCGAGCGGTCTGTATGTCTTTCCCAACATTGCCTTTCTCATGTCATTTCACTCTACGAATCTTTGTAACTATTCGGGGGATTGAATATACGCCGCAGCCATTGAAACTTATTGCAAGCTTGCAAGCTTCCAAGACCAATGGCGTTCGCCGGGGAGTTTCCGGCCCAGACTTTCACTTCCTTGGGCGGGTTCCGCTTGGTTGATCTTGCGGGGTGGCTGCAGGTAAAGAGCGTGGTGACCACCATAACTCCTTACGTACTGATAACCAGTATGCAATGCACAGGGTTCTTTCCCAATCCCGACATAGGAAGGCCAGCTTGAGGTCATCACCTAACGTACTGTTATGAGGAAGAGATGAGAATTGACGTCGGAGCGTGGGAATGGCGATATGCGACTCCCAAACATTCGTTGGTCAGACCTCCGCCTTCCCGATTACCCCTTTGCCTCTGTCATAATCGGAATCGGCCACCGCATAGAGGAGAGTATATATTACGATCGAGGTAGGACTAGAGAACAACGCAAAGCAGCTCCCTGAGTTCCGCACTAAAATCGGCTAGTTAATGAGTCCGGCTCCGGCTCCAGTGTATCTCCACAACGTTTCATGTCCAGATCCTACAAGATTAAAACCTCTACCCAAGATCCCTGCCGTGTTTGCCAAGTCCACCAGCCACTCGGACTCTTGCCCGTGTGGTTACATCGAGCCTGGTCCAAAGTCTTGTCCAGGGTGCCAAGGAATTGCCCCGCACTCCTTTGCCTCGGTGTCTTCGTGGTTTAATTCAACAAGAGGGCTTAGTCGGGTAGCTACGCTGTAGCAGGGTATAGGCAGAGCTGGCCCGCCGTTTTCTCCTTCTGCGTTTCGTCCCGGGGAGTTCCGAGAACACCCGCCTAGACTCATACAGAATATACACCAGGCGATGGGGCGCCGCAGCTTCGCCCCTCGGGCCAGGAAAGTGTCGTCCAAGCCCTGTAGAAAGCAACTCAGACGGGGAAGAGACGGGAAATAGGGGCAGTTCACCGAAGCGTCGCACGGCTAGAGACGAAGGTTGTACGGGTAGTCAATGAAGAGGGTAGTGACAGTGGGACTGCTCTTGAAGCTCACTCTCCCGCTGTCAAGATGATCGTTGATCTTGTCTTGCGCAAAGAAATCGTGCGTGCTATTGTATACATCTAATAATTACTATCTACTACCTCTTACTACATATCCCTAGCACCCCTTTGGTACTGAGCGGACCTCTTCTGAAGTCTATCTATCAAGTACGTTCAAAACGGACTTAGTCCTTGAGATGAGAAAGTAGCAAACATATTATATCCTTGTATAATCTCAACAAGTTAAGGTATAGAAAAACCCCACATTGAATCCTCGACTAGTATTCAGCCCCCGTAGGAATCGGCTATTCTAATTCCACTACACACCATACCCACTCTCCTGTAACAGAATCCCTAGTGGAGAAGCGCAGCCATAACTACTCCCGCAAGTGCTGCAGCCGCAGCAATACTCTGAGTCTCCCTGGACGCACCCGAGCCATCATCCTCTCCACTGCCTCCCTCACTTTCACCTCCTTCCTCTCCAGATCCAGATTCACTATCATCCCCGTCATCACTGTCACCACCATCATCATCATCATCCCCGTCGTCTCCACCGGCACCCCCGGTGATCTGGGCGGCAAGTGAAGAGCAACGATCCGGTCCCACGGGCAATAGGTTGAAAATCTGCGGATCCCGGCTACACGCCTCCCATATCTCCTGGTACTCAGGAATGACCCCCTCCCTCCACTTCGTATAGCTAACTGCCCACTCAGAGAACGGCTCTGCGCTGACGCCAGTAACCTTGGGGAGGGCGCAGGGATCGTCGCTGTTGGTGAAGCGATTGAAGTGGTAGCCGTAAGCCATGTTGGAGACGAATCTATCCGGCTCGGGGAAGCCCGTTATGACTGATTGTAGGGAAGAGACGACGGAGGTGCATTCTTCTGCGCCCGGGTAGTCTTTTGGGAGAGGAGCCTGGGCGACGGCTACGGCAGCGAGGACGATGAGGTGGGAGACATGCATTTTGGCGGTATATTTTCTTCGGTTTCCCTGTGAATAGGTCGTTGTTGCAAGACGAGGGTAAGATGTCAAAGGCCGTGAGGTATAGGTGGATTTGTATGGCGAAGGTGAGACAATCAGATAACGATCGCGGACAGGAGAAGAGAAAGGAACGAGCCGGGGGGAATAATTCTTGGCTGGGATGCGTACGTCCTCTCTCGTTAAATTCCTTGCAAGCTCGTCCCTCTCCAAGAGGACGGGCCAGTCGGGTCATAGTTACAGGGGGGATTCCCATATCTGCACATAGCCACCATTGGCAACAGCCAAGAGGTCACATCACCCTCTTATTCCACCCCGCCAAGAAATGAAGACGAATTCTAACTCGACGACCAAGAGGCCAAGTCTCTTGGCCAATTGAAGTGGTCAATATCCACAGCCTTGTCGGACTGATTGTTCGACCGAGGAGAGTGTCAGTTTAAACTGGTAAAGCTGTTAGCGAAGTGAGCTGGCTTCTCAACTTCTGGGAGCGCAGCGTTTATCTTCTTAATCCTCCTTCTACCTTTGCTCCTCCTCCTTCTCCTCCTTTTCGTTACCTGGCTGCTCTGAAACGCCTCGCTAACTTAACCCCGACCAACCCAGTCCTGTTCGGGGGGCGGGAGGCGGAACATGGGGAGCAGTGGCAGTAGATGAACGTTGGGGGGCTGGGGTTGGGGTTGGGGTTGGGGAGATAGCTAGTACATCAAACCCCCCCCTTTTTGATGTTCAATGGGATATGAGAAGCCAAACAAGGAACTCGTTCTCAGAAACCGCAGTCTACCAGTCAGCTAGGAGCTAGGTTTCTAATCGTATAATACTTCAAAGAGACACGTAAGGAAAAGGTAAATCAAGGGCGTCTTGAGTCCAACCGGGATTTGCGATGTCTCAGTATAACCAGGACGGGATCGGTCGCCGTACAGGTACGAAGCGAATCTATTAGAAACCAGAGAGAGCTATATACTGTTCGGCGTTCTGTCTTAATCACGAATCTCCACACTTTCGTCGTCAGCTGCCATGGTGATGCTACTAGACGCGCTACCGAGCGCCAGAAGGGCATCCCCTTTCGCGAATAGACGATCGACGTCCTCCAACTCGAGACCCTTTGTCTCAGGAAAGAAGAGGTAGATGAGAGGAACCCAAAAGCTATTAAGAACCGCGAAGACGATGTACGTCTTCCAGCCTATGCTTTCGATAGATATCGGCGTAACTTGCACGATAATCTAAGTGGCATTTCATTAGTTCGGTAATCTTTTCTGACAGATCCACTTATACTAGCTGGGGTAGCCTGTAACTTACATAATTCCACAACCAGTTGGCTGCCGTTGATATCGAAGAGCCGCGCTGGCGTAGGTGGAGAGGCAGCACTTCAGACCTAAGGAGCCCATGTGTTAGCGTTTACTTGGCGCCGGGCATAGGCCAGCCATCTTCAGAACATACGGATACACCCAGACAGTGGCCTGGAAGCCAATTGTAAAGGCGCCCTGGAAGACGAAGAGCATCGCGGCCGCTCCGATCCCGGCAGCAGCAGCCGAGGCAGTCTTGTGCTCGACCTGGTATATGAGACCGGCTTGAACCGCCATGACGGCAGCCATTAGGCTAATCATAGACAGGAACTACGGGACAGGTTGTCAGGTCAGTCGCGTCTCGGCCACAAATTCGCGCAGGGGAGACATACCAAGGGCCTTCTTCCAACGCGATCGATCAGGAACCATGGGATGAAGGAGGCAACGAAGAACCATGTCTGCAAGAACCCAGACATGAGCGCCGACATCTCCTTGGAGAAGCCGATACTTTGCTCGAAAAGCGTGCTGGAATAATCTGTCCGATAGTCAGCGGTCCGAAGCGACTATGTGAAGACAACTTGGGGGATATGCTGACAGATGATGGCGTTGATTCCGCCTAGCTGCTGGAAGCTCTGGATGGCGCAAGCCAGTAGCAGACGCCTCGGCGAGCTGATGTTGTCGTTCTTCAAAATGGACTTCCATGAGCCGGACCCGATCGACGCCTCATAAGCAACCGTGTGGGTAATGGCGTCGTGCAGCCGACGTACTTCCGGGTCGTCGGTCGGAGCGTCATGGATGCGAGAAATGACCTCGAGACACTCATTGGTCTTGTCGTGGGCGGCTAGCCACCTAGGGGTCTCAGGGATAATGGTTAAAATCGCCATGATGGCGAGGATCGGGAAGCATTGCAAAATGACGGGAACCCTCCATGCGTAACTTCCGAAGTGACCTGATAGCGCATAGTCTATCCAGTACACGATACAAATACCGAAGTTCAGGGTAGAAAGCTGGGCACAGACATCTATTTTTATTTCCGGGCGAGAGAGAATGAGGAACCATCCATCAGGCATAAGTGGTAGGCAGGGTGGTGGGTTTCTCCGACTTACAGATGCCACGGCTGGATTTCGGGCTGAACTCGGCCTGGAGTACAGGGACGGTCGAGTTGATTACGCCCATGCCGAGACCGGATACGATGCGCCCGACTATAAGCTGGGCCCGGCTGTATGCAGCCGCCTGTAGGAGTGCACCGGCAACCATGACGACGCAGCCGTGTAGGATGGACTGGCGGCGGCCTAGGGCTTCTCCCCAGACGGCCGCATAGATGGATCCGAAGAAACAGCCAACTATAGAAAGGGGGAGCCCGGGTTAAGGAGTGAAACTGGATCCAAAAGTGCAAACGAGTGGAGAGGAAGGGAGAGAGTGCGTGGGGGTAAGAGAGACACTACCTACTTTCGTATATCGCCACGATGACACCCACCATGCCCGTGCCTGGACTGTCAAAACTTTCGTTGAAGGCGGGCGTATTGACTAGTGCAGGCGAATTAACTCTGGTGCGCATGGCGTACGTCACAGTACTTTTAGGACATGGAAACATA